GTCGAAAATCGACCCACACTTCAAAGTACCTGACTGCGGGGTTTTTGCAGATCGCGGCATCTACGACGTTTACACGAAAACTATCGCAAAACTATCGCTGCCTAGTAAGGATAACTATCTAGATTTTGCGGCTAGATAGCTCAAAGCCATTTTCTCCCAGCAACCCCGACACTCTGGATGTCTCCTATTGAATCCTGAGCTCAACTTGGACCCAAGATATTGTGTGCCACCCCCGACGTTACTTTTACCTTTCGTGGTTCCTCCGTAACGCCACATTAATCATGAAGGACGGAAGATTCAAGGCAGATTGGTGAGACCACCCCCAAATGTTAATATGTATGCATGGCTTGAGGAGTGCATGAATAGTTTGCATAATCATTTAGTCGAAAAAAAATACTGAAGACTTTATAGGTTACTATAAATTTCCAAATATTTTACCACTGTCCATTGTGCATATCTAATTTTTGTCTAATTGTGCATATCTAATTCATACCTAATTGTGCAATTCTATTTTTGAAGATTTATGGGATGTTTTCTTTACCCTGTGAAGTTCAAGTTATTTTTAAATCAATAATAGTTTTTTAAATAATTGTGCCATTATAAGTAGTACCAGTGGAAGAGGACAAGTAGTCTTAACTAAGAACAACGTACGGGAAAAATCAATATTAATCATCAATAACAATTAAAATCTTTGTTAACTACGAGCTCTAGCAGCAGATTACGCTAACGTCGTCTGAGGATAAATACGCACAGGTGTGCTACATAATTATTGGAACCTTATGAGACGCAATTACGGATCCACTTAAAAGAGAGCTGCCGAAGAGCTTTTGCGATTGACAAAAATAGACAGGGCTTGCCCTCGTAGAAGTTTACAAGTTTCTAAAAATTTTTTTTACTCACAAGACAGCAGTTTTCGTTTATTCGTTTCGAAATTTCGGGCATGGTCATAGGCCCCTGTACGATGGTACTCGTTTAGTTTTAGAGACTCAAGGACAAATTGCTCATACGTTATGATTAATGTACTCTGAAAATGCTGAGCATTACGAGCCTATACTGAATTTGATCGGTGCAAGCGGTAGTTGCGAATACTGTATACCATACAATAAAAGTTATTGGTGTATTGAGGATCACAGGTGCTCAAATAAATGCTACAAGTGTATGCTCACCTCTTTAAAATGTGATAGGTCCATTAAAAAAGTGTGATTCGTGCCACAGATTATTTTTGAAACTGACATGTTTTGAAAATCATTAAAAAAAAGGTTTGAATAATAAATCTTTTACTGTTTGCGAAAAAAAAAATTTTTCAAAACTGTGTGAATATCAAATAAGACACATAAACATCAATGTGGTATTTTCGTTGTTGTAATTGTAAAGAGTATTTGCCCGTAAAACTTTAATGTTACATTCAATCGTTAAAATTAAACAGCAAACAATAAAATTCTTTAGTATTATTCTACGATTCTGAAACGCAACAGACGACACTCATCATAACTATGATGTTGATGAGTTTGTAATGCTTGTAGCAATCTAAAAGATATTTCGATAAACTGCGATAATTCGAGAATATTTTTTTCGAACTAATTAAATTAAACAGTTGGTAGATCTTGCTTCAAATCACCAAAAATATTCTGACAAAGTCATTTTCACAGCTCACAATGCACAAGGATTCGATGCTCAATTTATTTTTAAGTATAAAGTGGAAAACACGGTGAACGCGTAGTACCATCCGTTATAATGAAGAGTTTAAAAGTAATATTGATGGAATTTATGAAAATAAAATTTATTGATAGTCTTTATTACTTTTTTATGCCTTTAAGCAGCTTACCTAAGTCGTACCGTCTGTCGAAAATTAAAAAGATACTTTTTCACATTTTTTTAGCAAACCCGAAAATCAATTGTACATAGGTTCTCCACCGTCGCTCGCCGTATATTCACCTGATAGTATGAATAAGAAAGATCGAGATTAGTTTTTAAAATGGTACAGTAAACAAGCAGAAAATAATTATATATTTGACTTAAAAAATAAAATTATAAAATACTGCAAGCAAGACGTAAAAATTTTCAAGATTAGCTTGCTTAGCTTTTCGAAAAACCTTTGAAAAATTTGAGGTGGACCCTTCTGGGAAACGATTGCTTCGACCTACATGCGTGTATACAGAAAAAAATTTCTGGAAAAAGGTCAAATTGATATAAAACTACAATAAGGTTACAGAATGGCTTATAATCGATCAGAAATAGCTTTAAAATGGCTTTATTGGATAGAAAAACACGTTTTCTAGCAATTTATCGAGCACATTAGATACTGCCAGGAGAGGCGTTTACCAGAAGGTGTCCTTGTCAATGGATACTGTACTCATCTAGATGGTGTGCATGATCATCGTGGAATCGTATTACAATTCCAATGTTGATTTTGTCATGGCTGCCCACGGTTTTACCGAATAAACCGAGATACAATTTTGACGACCGGAGGTACAATGGATGATAGATATGAGAAAACCCGTACGATTAACGAAAATATAAGAATGTCAAATTATAACTTGATAGAAAAATGGGAATACGACTTTAACCAAGATATACGTGAAAACAAAGAACTTTTAAATTATATTTGAGAAAATGAAAACCATCGAAGTAAAAAACAATTGAACTCCCGTGATATATTTTTTTGTGGTCGAACAGGAAACACTGTAAAACTGTATGATTGTCGGGTTGGAGAAAAAATTAAATACGTTGACGTATGCTCTTTGTATCTATATATTTGCAAACGAGGTATATTCCCTGTTGGTCATGGAACGTTATAGTCTAAGGAAGCGGAGTGTAAAAAAATGGTACGTGACAATAATGATAATTCTTAAGTGAATGGTTAAATTATGTGTGATGTGCTACCACCTAGAAATTTGTATCTTCATATTTTACCAGTGAGAATGCACGGTGAGCTTATTTTTCCTTTGAGCCTGCGAGAATATGCTTCAAGAGCACTGTATCCACGACGATGAAAGAGACCGCATTTGAAAAGGTACGTGGGTATCCGAAGAAGTCAAGGTGGCTGTTCGAGTAGGTTATATCGTTAAAAATTTTTATAAAATATATCAATATCAGGTAACAGAGTACAATCAAGAAATGGACCAAAAAGGATTATTTGCGCATAATATTAACGAATTTTTTTAACAAAAAAAACGGTTTGCGTCACATGTAACGCACCGCAGAAGTGAGAACTTCGAAAACATGTAAGTAGTTATGTTTGGTCCATCTATCTGCCTATCCACGATTTTTTAAATAATTTTTAGGGTTATTGTTAGACAAAAAAATGAAAAAAATTTATCGTTCTTATTTGTAATAATTTTGCAAAGATGCTATAATTTTTAACGCCTCTAATTTTTAAAAGTTTTTTTTTTTCATTTTTCAGCTTTTGGCATAAATTTTTATGCGAAAAAGCTTTCTTTTCGTTTATATTAAAAATTTAAATGCTTGCTGTACATTAGTTTGCCTAATTTTAATTAATCATAACGCAAATACACAAATACGAATTGTATCTTATGTTGATTAAAAATAATATATACTACGATTAACCAATAGTTCTCGCAACACCAGCACAAAGTACTACCTTAGTGTCCGAAAAGCGTGGTGAATGGAAATTTATTCCTTAAATACATTATGAACTAACAATAGAACCAGAGATATTCTAGCTCTAAAAGGGCTACTTAGTACAGGGTTAAAAAAAAAAAATAAAATAAGTGCACTACTAACGAAAACCACTCTTAAAAAAAATTTTTTAGTCTTATGAAACCTAAATGACTTAGTTAAAAAATGGAATAGACACAATACATTAAAGAAACAATATATACAACAATTAATGTTAGATACTTGCTTTAATTCAGCGATATCTTGATTCCAGTGAAATATCAAGATAATTTTTATTTGATAACCTTATTTCTGTAAAAACTAAAGTCTCCTTGACAATTAAAAATGTGAACTCCTAAACTACCGTGAAAATATATAATTTTTTAAATTACTTAATACTGAACTTTGTGTTATGTCCGTATTGTCTGATGAATCTCAAAAAAATTTTTTTCTGAATCAACGGTTTTCTTTAAACAAATCCTTTTTGTATTTCCTGTTAGTATTTTTTAGTAACAGCAGCTTTAAGATACTCAAACTAAGTTCAAAATTAAATTATTTAAAACTGAAAAAATGCATACTTATTTTTTTATAAATTTTAATTTTATTACAGTTAGTTCAAAACATATTAAATGTGAACATAAAAAGTTTACGTCTGTTGAAAAACGATAGTACTATTCAGCTTGGTGTGGTAGCACGTGTTCGATTAGACACTGATAACGTATAAAAATTAATCAATGCTTATCATTGTATGAAGTGTGCTAATACTATTATGAGTTTGGAAGAAGTGCATTTTTAGTTCTTTCTTCATCTGAAGATTGGTAGGTTAAACATTCTATTATTTAAAAATGTAAGATTTGAAAATACAACTATTTTTAGTACACCATGATATGATATATATTAAAAACAAACTGTAACTAAGTGTCTAAGATTTTTTTTATAAATAACAGATCTGTTGAGTACTATTTGTTATAAAAGCAATAGACAATATGTTAAAATAATGTTCTCGAATTTGTGAAATAAAGTGTTGTGAAATTACAAAATAAAAAAACAAACATCTTTCTTACGCACCTAAAAAGTTTTAACTGTATTTACTTTAAAAACTATTAATTAATATTTGGTTTCATCCATTTTCAAAATCAGTATCATGTAGCTCCATTAAAGAAGGTTTGGATGGAGTCGAGATGGAGTCTCACAGTTTGTAGATTACCATACTTGTTCGTAAAAGCCCATAAGAGTAAAAGTTGAATTAGAAAGGGTCACTTGATTAAACCTTTCTCTCACTCTTAGAAGCTCTTGTGGGTGAGTATGATAGTCTACAAACTGTCTCAACGTACCCTTAAAAAAGTTTCTCATTTCTTAAACTATTTTTTTTCTCTTCTTACCGTTGGCATAAGTTGATCGGTGGATCTTACTCTTGTTACCTTGTTGTGATAAAGAACAGTCTTAACTAGCTCCTCCATACGCTGGTTCCATTTCATGAAACTAACATAAGCTAAGTAAAATCCAAAAAGTATTAGTGCTTCGTACCAATATATGTAGTTATCTTTGAAAAAATAAATAAGCGTGAGTAAGCTCATGCTATAAAATGTACAATCACGAAACAATGGCCACCATGTAAGAGATAATACCGTCTTTGAGAAAATGGCACACATTCCAATAACGAATAGTATGTTAAAGACAGCAGATCCCACAATAGTACCTATACCAACATCATCAAAAGATACAAATACACCGATAATTGAAGTAAAAAGCTCTGGAGCTGAGCCTCCAGCTGCCATGAAGGTTGCTCCAGCTACATCATCAGCAATTTCAAGTTTTTCAATTATAACATCCAAAGAAGGAACGAAAAATTCATCACATACAATTGCTAATGCAACAAACATGTAGATAACTCCTAATACGTGTAGCATTACAGCACCATGTCGTCGCTGTTCCAAACTGAAAAGATCATGCGGAAATAATGGTTTTTTTTCATGAATGATTCCCGATTTACTGTGATAATAGGGATGTGCACTACTATTGTAAATGTCCATATAATGTGATCTATTTTCCTGAAATGTTTTGATAATATCCGATAGGGCAACAATATTTGTCTTAAAGTCTACAGTATAGTTTTGAATTTTTTTATTACTGCTTACTTGCACAAATTTTAAACTGGTAAATGCTGGGAAATGTCCCATACTTAGGGATAAATTAGCTGAGAATATTACAATAACAAATAATAATATCATTGTCAATTTATCAATGGCTTGAAAATTCAAGCACATATCTGAAGGCTTGAAAGAGTTTTAAAACGTTTGGCACTATTTAATCAGAAACATGTCTGTTTTTACAGTTCACTATAACATTTAAATGTTCATTCAACAATATAATAGTTCTAACTCTTTTGATAGTCTCTTTATTTACACCAATAATATACATTCATTATTATGTACATATACATGTATATTCATGTTTACATAAATATTTGTATTTATCCCTGAACACTGAATATAATTTTACTTAAAAATAGCTACTTTTCATTTAATAATAAATTTTCTTTGCGTCAATATATTTGAATACTTTAACTTCAACTTATAAGCAAATTTACACAATTACTTTGAATGTTTCTGGTAATTTGTTAAAGGTGTTAGAAGAAATAAGAAAATATAGTTTTCTATTACTTATGTGATTTGTTTATTTTTTTTGAAAACGTTCTGTCAAACAGGATCAGGAATTAACTGTTTAATGTACTTTTCAAAATTAGTTTATTTTAAGATCCTTGGTACTCACATCCATATTATCATTTTAGTTGTTTAATCCTATAATTTTTGTTTTTAAGTGCTTATAACAATTTATTGTACATTTTCGCTCTTTTACTGTTTATTTTCTTTTTTTAACAATTTTACGTGACATCTTCATAAATGAGATAAGAAAAACTCAGAAACGGGATGAATCCAAGCGTGCGCAGTAATCTTCTATAAAACGCTCAATATTACATTCACACACTACCATTATTTTTATGTAAGAATTAAAGTCATGAATTAAATTTGAAAATGTAAGAAATGTTATTAATATACGTCAATGACTTTTCATTTTTTTATTGTAGGTGCTGCAGATCTGATTGTTTATTATCTTGTCTTTAAGAGAATTGATAAATTTCAATTTTCACAATGTACAATAGCAACTCCTATTATAAAATCCCCCAAATGTCCAAAATTCAATACAGAATATTTTTAAATTTGGTTGGTTGAGCAGGACTATTTATTAGTAAAAAAATTATTTCCATCTGATACTTTGGTAATTTAGTATTTCCTTTATCTGGAATTTCTTAAAAAAATAATGTAAATGGTCGAGTCCTAACATTTCACGTACACCCTCTGTGGCCCCACAAGAAATTTGCAATATTAAAAATACATTAATGAATCTTTTCAACGTACATAGTAAGAAATATCTCCTTAAATAAAAATCAAATAAAAGTGAGTCAAAATTATAAAAAGGATAAAACTCATATCGCAATCGTACAATTAAAGTGTGAGTCGTATTAAGCATAAAGGCTAATACAACTAATAATGTATATATTGTTGGGCTACAGAGGGTGTACGTGAAATGTTAGAATTTGACCATTTACATTATTTTATTAAAAAGTCCCTGATAATGGCAATTCTAAATTGCCGAAATATCAGATGGATATAATTTTTATAACAATAAATAGTCGTGCTCAGCCAACCAAATTTCTTTCATTCTATTTTAAAATTAAAATTTTTGTCACACTAGTCATGCAATAAATTTTCTAGGAGTATTATTTATTTTGTACTACGGTAGGGCTATAACAATTAAAAAAAACTTATTTATGTCATAACGTACAGCCATAAAAAACTATGACGAATTTTCTATCTTCTAAATAACTATATAGGTATTAATGTGGAATAATGATATGCTGTTACATGTAATGTTACATGATTGTAAAAGTTGACTTTACCACTACTATATCACTATTGAAGAATCTTAGTCAAAAGTTATTAGCTATTATTTTAACTATGACTGATAGCTGTATTTACAGCTATAATCATCTACAATAATAGCTATAATTGACTACAAAGTAGCTTAGAGAGTCAATTTAAAAAAGTAGCTGTTTACAGCTATAAATTTCTTGCGAATTTTAATTAACAGAATTTATTCAATAATCTTTTTTTTTCTAAGGTACATCAGCCATATAAGGTGATATTATGCGTATAGTAACACTAAAAGTAGGGGGTTTAAGTATTTTTTAACAATAAACGAAAGAAATTTAAACAGTAACATTTTTTTATTTCTTCGTGCTGATAGCTAAAAGGTATTTCTCAAAAATAACAAGGCTCTTCTAAAATAATTTTTTATTTAATAAATTAAAAATTTTTCTTCAATCGTAATAAGGCGAGAACCCTGGCTTCAAATGTAAACGTTACCCAAACACCTTAAAAATTTAAGTTCTGTGAGGGTTGAAACTTATTTATTATAGGTAACTTTTACTATTTTCAATTGCTCTTGGAAAAAAGATAGTGTTGGTTCTACGATTCTAGAAGTGCATGTCTTAAGAAAGAGACTTTCATTCTATGTATTAAAAGTAACTATTTATGTCGTATCCTTAACAATATCACCTTTAAAATGGTTCAACGAAGTTATTTATACCAATTAAGGTACTGTACTTTTTCTACCTCTGTTCTTAGAACGTAAAAAGATTCACTATAGTTAGCATTCCCAGACAAAAATTTTTAGCCTAGGATAGAGCTATAAGCTAATTTAATGTTCATTGCATCCTAAACTTTGTGTTCTAGATCTCATTTCAAATTATTTTTCTGCATTTGATTGACAAACTTCGGAAAATTTTTTTTTAAATCATGAGGAGTAAAAAGAATTACCCATTGAAAATTTAAACTGATGAATATGATACAGCGACAACCATGACAAAATCCAAGACAAGATTCAAATATTAGTAGCAGCAAAAACATGAAATTAAGACTTGCTCTTAGGCATGAATGCTTCAAAGAAATGCATCATAGTTTTGCCAGAGCAAAAATTGTAACCACAACTTATAAGAGCACATAAGTCGACTAACATGGAAATTTTACATCCAATTAGCGTAAAGTTAGTTTGTGGCCTTATTTTTATATCACACCCTGACAGTTTCAAATCCAAAAATTTCAACAAAGATAATAATGTTGCCAGCCCCGAGATTGCATAACTCTCAGAAGTCAAAATCAGTTTCTTGTATGTAACTTGTAATTTGATACTTTTGGTTCTTATATATTTAGAAAAAATATAAGTATAAAAAAAGAATTTCCTATCACCTCTGCAAATACAAAAAAAAAAATTGTCCTGATAGTGAAAACGATGATATTTTCCAAGTTTCAAACATCTGTGTCATTGGATGCATCTTGAAAATTCAAAAACTTATACATTTAGTTTCAACGAGAAATTTTTACATTTCTTAGAAAATAAATTTTATTGATACTTTTATGTACATTTCCGAAACTAGGGGTAAGTGTACCTATCTCCGTGCTCTGCCCTATTACCGTGGATTTTGAAAAACTGATGATTACTTGCTCAAAATAAGAAATGTTTCATATGAAATAATTTTTCAATTTTAATAATCTAAAATGACGGTAATGTTGATGCAATTTAAACAGAAATATTTGTGTACATTTTGAGTAAATAATTATTTTCCACGGTATTCGGTACAACGCGCTCATTAACTGATTGTGTACGTATTTCCGCGGTGAGTTTACGTAAACATAACCCTTTACTTACAGAACGCATGACAGTTAACGCGTAAACAATTAGTAGGTAAGCACGTCTATCTAACGTAACCAAGATGAAGAAAACTAAAAAAGGCAAGAAAGACAAGAAATCGATCGAAATAAAGAAAAACAAAAAGTGTTACTCTCCAGAGACATTAAAATTAGCTTTGAAAAGTATCTATTCTGGAGAATGTATTGCTGAGTGCTCAAAAATGTATAAGATTCCTACTAAATGAATAAGCAAGTACGAAAAAAAGTAAAATTTTTTTAAAACAATAAATAAGTCATGTAGAAAATGTAGGTGAAATTTACAATTTTTTTTTTTATTCCGCAAATACAACTTTCTTCACCCACGGTAATACGGACACGGTGATTGGGACATCCGCGGTACTACGTACATGGTAATAGGTACACAACCACGGTAATACCAGCATACCGTTTTTATTCGTTTTAAAAATATTCTACTGCAGTTTTAGATTCATGAAATTTTTTTAAATATTCCGTAAGAGATTATGTAAGATTAAAAAAAAAAAATATTCCAAAAAATTTTAGTATACCATTTTTTATGGTGCATTTAAGTTGGAATTTTCAGTACGTGCCACGGAGATAGGTACACTTACCCCTAT